TTGCATACATTACATTACACTACTCTACTCTACACGACACTACTCTACACTACACTACACTACATTACATTACATTACATTACATTACATTACATTACATTACATTACATTACATTACATTACATCACATTGCATCACCTTGTATTCTACTCTAAGAATAACTTTGGCGGGTTGTTGCACGCATGTTGGCTGGTTAATGCTTTTCAAGTCTTCATTCGTTTAGGATCCAGATGAAAAAGAAGTCAGTTTGAAGGTTTAGAACTGAGGGACTTTACTGGCTGGGGCTTTATATAAGTTGTTCTGTCCCTGGGGTGGCGAAAGAGGAGTCAATTGAGGGCCTAGGGTTTTCGCCCTTAGAATTCGTGGGGCACGTAAGACTCGTAAGCATAAGTTGTTGATACCTTAGCCCCTCTGTAGAACTCTTGCATGAACGAACTGATGTTTAGGTGCTTGTTTGGCCGTCCTGGGCAGTTCTTGTTCTTCTTCTTCCTCTGATGATGAGTCTTACTTTGGGACCCTGACGAAGTATTGCCTGTCCGCGTCTGTAGGGCTATAAAGGGCCATGGGATTGAATAACTCGGGTTATAAGTGAGGTAGGTACTGTTGCAACTACTTCTGACGCGACTTCGGGCACTTTGTCACCTTGCCCCCTGAACCCTAAACCCTAAACCCTAAACCCTAAACCCTAAACCCTAAACCCTACGACCCTGAAGACCTTCAGCCCTTGTCGGATGCTTTGTCATGGCTTCATGCAGTTTTTGTAAGGGGTTTAGGGTTTAGGGTTTAGGGTTTAGGTCGGGAGTTTTATCGGGATTTAGAACGGTTTATGTGGAGCTTAGAGGGGTCTTATGTCGAGTTGTTGTGGCCGTCCAAACTTGTGTTTCTGTAATGTAGGAGCCTAGCGCGGGAGTTGCAGAATGCGTGGGCTCTTATATCTACCCTGAAACAAGGGGTTATTGACATAAAGACGGTCCCTATGGTCTTGATACACCTCTACTACTATAACAACTTACCCCAAAGCCCTGTTCCAGTAACATCTAGTAGCTCAGGGCCTTAAAACCCTTAAACCCTAAATCCCTTGTAAAGCCCCCCTTATAAGAACCCCATAAAACCCGCATACATCCTTGTATTATGGCACCTTTTTAAGTCCTAGCTTCCAGAGGTCGGTCGTGATGACTTGCAAATCGTCGCTTTGGCTCCGATATTGAATGTTTTGAGTTCATTGCTTCGAGGGGGGGGAGGTAAGTTTAGGGTTTATGGGTTTGGGGTTTAAGGTTTGTGGGTTTAGGGTTTTTACGGGTTTGGAGTCTAGGGTTTATGGGGCTTTGGGTTTATGGGTTCGGGGTTTAGGGTTTAGGGTCCCCTTTGGTAGGTAATGGGAGTCGTAGGCATTACAGTTCACTTTAGCGGTCTGATCCCTGCGTAGCAGTAATCCCTTTCTGCTTTATATGATTTCTATTTCATTACACCCAAAATCCAGCGTAATCATGCATGCCCCGCTACTTGTCTTTTGCCGAACTGCGGCTTAGGTTACAGGGATGGTTTCGTCAAGGCCGAAGGCGTTGTGCGCCTTTCTTGGCGCAAATAGGGGTGGGAATCGATCGGAGCGGTTTGCAATAATGCTCATCTATATTATAGTACCCAATGTCTTTATAGTTTAATGTACGTACCTCAAAACTTTATTCTAATTGGGAAGGTCCCTTTATGAGGCCAGGTTCTAGTGTTTTTTTGCCTTTTTTCTGGGCATCGGGGGAGTGCCAGAACATGTTACCCACCCCAATCGCGAGCTTAAGCCTTACCTAGACCCTACAGAACCTACCCGCTTTTCCGCTTTCAGTGTGACGGCCACAGCGTCATGGCCTTCCTGTGGAAAGTCCTCACTTCGGACCGGGTCCCCGACTTCGCGATGCGATTGGACCAGAAACACACAGTTTAGGGTTTAGGGTTTAGGGTTTAGGGTTTAGGGTTTAGGGTTTAGTTCCCAACCCAATGCTCCGCCGTCGAAGGCCAAGCATACTCGTGCCGACGCACGCTGGGCAAAAGCCTTACTTCCTGGGTACCGAGCACATCACACAATATCATGGTTCCCTTCGACTATTCGTCGAAACCTGCAGAGTCGGAGGCGAATGCTCCAACCTGGTCGTCGTCAAGATCTGGATGCCAGGTTCGGAATTCGACGGACGAGCACAGTGTCAAAGCTTGCCACAGGGCGGATCAGCATTTCTCTTCAAGAAGCTCTCCCTAAACCCTAGACCCTAAACCCTAAACCCTGAACCCTGAACCCTCAACCCTCAACCCTAAACCCTAAACCCTAAACCTGAACGCTAAACCCTAAACCCTAAACGCACCCCGGGGGTTTCTTCAGGCTCCAGCTGGGCGTCGACATGCAGTTGTCATTGGCTCTGTAAGATGACTGCTTGCTTTCGGGGGTCAGGTGATTTACTAGTTAGGGTCTAGGGTTTAGTTTAGCGTTTAGGGTTTAGGGTTTAGGGTTTAGGGTTTAGGGGTTTAGGGTTCAGAGTTTAGGGTTCAGGGCTTAGGGTTCAGGGTTCAGGGTTTAGGGTTTCGGGTTTAGGGTTTAGGGTTTAGGGTTCAGGGTTCAGTGTTTAGGGTATCGGGTTCAGGGAATACAGTGTATATAAGTAGAACTTTGATTGCTTTCAACCCAAGTGCAGGTATTTGGTTGCCTTACTTAACAAGTCTAAGGATCCTCCAAGCAAGCGCTAAACACTGGCATTTCTGCTCAAGAGGAAGCTTTAAAAATGAGTTCATAAGCTTGGTCGGGGCTTGCTCTAGGATGCAAAGCTGTATCGGCTTGAGTAAGCTAGACGAAGTTATCGTGGTGGCTGGTGGTGAGGTTGGAAGCAAAACACGAACCATTCGGTGATTATTCGAATCACCCTCTGTGTTCTCATGCTTTAGGATGCTATAGGTGGGAGAGTATTTTCCTGTTACCTAAGTATATGCTGCTTGCTTAGTGATTTCTTAGCCGGGCCAATCGTAAACCTTGAGCTCTAAACCCGCGACCCAAACCCTAAACCCAAACCCTAAACCCCAAACGCTAAGCCCTAAACCCCAAACCCTAAGCCCCACACCCCAAACCCTAAACCAAGCCTTGAACCCTAAAGCCTAAGCCCTAAACCCTAAAGCCTAAGCCCTAGACCCTAAACCCCAAAGCTTGAACCCTAAAGCCTAAGCCCTAAACCTTGATGCCTGAAGTCTAAGACCTAAACCCTAAAGCCTCAGGTAAAGCCTCAGGCCTAAACTCTAAACCCTCAACCGTGAAACCTAGAGCCCAAACCCTAAAGCCTAAGCCCTAAACTCTAAACCCTAAACCTTGAACTTTAAGGCCAAAGCCGTAAACCTTGAACCCTAAAGCCTAAGCGCTAAACCCCAAACCCTAAACCTTGAACCCGAAAGCCTAAGCCCGAAACCTTGAACCTGAAACCTTAAACCCTAAACCTTGAACCCGAGAGTCTAGGCCCTAAACCTTGAACCCTAAAGCCTTAGCCCTAAAGCCGAATCCCTAAACCCTAAACCCTAAACCTTGAACCCTAGAGCCTGAGCCCTAAACCCCACCCCTTCCCAGACCCCCAAAAGGATCTAAAAAATAGATCCCCTAATTAGGGACCCTAACTACTAAAGGGTACTTTATAGTAACGCCCTCAGGGGATCTATTTTTTAGATCCT